TGCAGACGACCTCGGGTCTAAATCCCCTGCGGGCGAATCAACGCGAGAGGGTTCGGAACTGGCAGCGGCCCCTGAGGACAAGTCAAATCGAGGGGCCTGTGGAGCGGCTGTGACCCCTGAGGACAGGTCGCCTCGAAGGGGCTTCCCACTGCCACCAGAACCGATAGAACCGAAGGACGGCGCGTCTGAGTCACCGCCGGCATGGACTCCGGCAGCATGGTGAAACTGGCCAAACTGGCCACTCGGCCCTGAGGGGGAGCCGGGGGTAGAGCGAGAGTCGCGACAGCGGCGCGAGCTCCTCCCTGCGGGGCCGTAACAGCATCGCTGGAGGAGCGCGCGCCTACTCTCACGGCCTCGCTCAGCCCAGGCACGCTTGGCAGCAGCAGCGTCGTCGCTTTCAGCGACTCGCCGCTGCGTGAGCCCTCGGCCAGGGCACGCAGGGCGCGTGCGTCCACCCCTGTGTTGGGATGCGCCGCCATGGAGGGCGGCATCGCCGGCGGCCTGGGAGCCGGCGGAAGCGGCGCGGCAAGGGCCCGCCGCCACCTGCACCAGCGAACTGCGGCTCCCTGGAGCACGGGCCCCAGTAGCGGCCTCTGAAGCACCGACGAGGGCGTCCGTAGACGAGGCAGTCGCACCAGCATGGGCTGGAGCGTGAGCTGTACAGCAGCTACCATCGGCGGCCCCACGACCCCGCCGTCCTCCACGCCGAGTGCGGACCCTACGAACACGTCGGAGCCTGAATGCGGGGAGTGCGGGGTTGCTGTTGGTGGAGGCCGAGCGGCGACGGGGCCGCGCTATAGTGGCAGTGGCTGCGGCGACGCATTCATCCGAGGAGCCCGCGGCGAAAGCGACTCCTCGACCAGAGCGGGGCGCAGGGACCGCATCGCGGGGCGTCGTGTCCGCCGCGGGCGAGCCCGCTCCTGACATTCCACCGGCGGCACGAACCCCTCCCTGCGGGGCCGCAACAGCATCGCTGGAGGGGCGCATGCCTACCAGTGGGGACGGAGAGGGGCTCAGACCACGAGGGCCGGCCAGCAGGCGCTCGCGAGCGCGGGCAGGGATCGACGCGACGGGGCCCTGGATCCGATTGCACGAGAAGCGTCGGGGCCTCGCTGCAATGGCAGCGGCTGCGGCGACGCCTTCACCCGAGGAGCCCGCGGCGGGGCCGATGAGGCCTGGAGGTGATCCCGCTGCTTGAGTGCCCGCTGCGTTCCGAGTGCAAGCGCCCCGAGGCGTGGGGAGCGCAGCTTCGGTCGAGGCACTGCGGACGGGCGTTTCTGGCGCGTCCACCACGCTACCGATGGCAGTGGCGCCCTCGCTGTGGTGGGACTGCTCGCAAGCGAGACTGCGTGCACAGCAGGGGGTCCCCCGAACATCGCTGGGGGCCCGCCAGTGGCGCGTCTGGGAGCAGAATCCGCGTCCGAAGCGCTCGAAGCGACCCCCCGCCCACCGACCCCCATCGTGGCAGCAGGGGGGGCGTCGAGGATGACTCGCGAGCAACCGCTGCGCGGGCCGCCCAGGATGCACCAGCAATGGCGCCTGGCTCCAGTGCAATGGTGACACCGAGCCGTCGAGGTACCGCCTGGCGTAGCGACCAGGTGAATACTGCTGACAAGCGCCGGAGTCCCAACCAAGGCAGCGGTCGCGCAGACGTGCGTCGACGGCGGCGCCACGGCGGCGGACTCCAGGTTCGGTTGTGCAGTCATAGAGGCCGGGCGAACATTGCTAGGGTGGAGAGACGGGTGCGTATGAACTCCCGCCTGTGGGTCGGCGAGGCCCGGCGGCAGCCCAACCCGCCCGACGTGGGAAGGCGAGCCACCACCGACAGGAGGCGACTCCGCACTCACGGCGGCTCCGACAGCCGCGCGGTCACCGACGGCGGCCGTGGGGCGCCAAAACGGCAGTGGCGACGACCCGGTGCACGGCAGACGCTCGCCGCTAAGCCTCGGACCCCCACCCGCTGCATCGGACGCGCGGGAGTCGACCAAAGGCGGCACCCGTGCGCCAGCTTCCAAGCCGGCGAAGCCTGGTGGCGGAGCCACGCTCTGAATGTCGGAGCCCGTGTGCGGGTCCCACGCGTGCATCGGCGGCAGAAAGGAAGTGCGCACCAGAGGGTGCGAAACGTGCTTCTCGATGAAAGTCCACTGCGAGTTGGCACCTCCTGACAGGTGAACCCCATATGTCGGAGCGATGGCGATCATGGAATTTGACGGGGGCACGCGAGCACCAGCCTCCACGTCAGCGAGAGTGGGGAACGGCCCCATCGCGAGCGGGGCGCCCTCCAGCCCAGCGAAGCCTTGCGGCGAGTCCGCCTGCAAGCTCATGGAAAGCGGTGGAGGATCCAGCCCTGGAGGCGGGCGGGGGCGTTGCACCGCACTCGCCAGCCCAGGCAAGTCGGGCGGCTCGCGCGCTGGAGCGTCCCAGCCAGGATAGGGCGGAATCGTCGTAGCGCCGCCGGCGCCCCACCCCGCGGGACAGGAAAAGCCTTCAGCGACCTCAAAGCCACAGGTGTCCGCACGAGGGCTGCTCCGCCAAGCATCAAGGTTGAGCCAGGGCGAGGCGGCGGTGGGAGGAGAAGGAGTAGCGAGGAGGTGGAGGTTAGAAGGGTCCACCAACTCCGGCTCCTCCACCCATAGCGCGGTTGTCTTCGCACCGTTGGCGCCTGTGCCCTCTGACGGGCGGCTCTGAGGGATGCTCTCATCGGCAGTGGCTTCGCTGGCGGCACGACTGGCAGGCAGAGACAGTGCGCCGTCTGGGGCCATCGGGAGGCGGGCGTAGGAGCTGTGCGCCGGAGCACCTCGTGAGACATTGGACTGATCAGGTGCCGCAGCACATGGCGTGCAATATCCACCTCTCCTTCCTCCGGTCCGCCCATGAGTCTCCAACTCCGCCACCCCAGAGGAAGAAGGGGAAGAATGGCGGGAGAAAGGAGGGGGAGGTGGAGGAAGGTTTTGCTGCAGAGGAGGCGGCGGGCCCGTCGGGGGGCACCAGCGCGGCGGGTCGGTACCGCGGAAAGCTGGGGGTGCAGCCGCGGACGCCATGGGCCAGGAGGCCGTTGGCGACAGGCGCCTGTAGGACAGGTGGCCTGAGGGGCGCGCGAGCGCCCCGCCTGCAGGCAAGCGGCGCGCAGGAAGGAGTGGCGCGAGCCAACCCGAACAGGGAGGCAACCCCGTGCCGTCACCGACTGGCTGCTCGGCGCAGTCGGGCTCGCCCCACCCGAGAACGGATTGACGGGAAAGTGGGCCCCGTGCAATACCGCGCTCGAGGGGGGAGAGTGGACCACCGCCTTGGGCGGCGGCCCACGCGTGGTCCGAGAAGAAAGCCGCCGCCGCGTAGAAGTCGATGGACACCTGAGCAGCGGGGGCGCGGCGCGGGTCGCGCGGGTCGCCGGCGCCCCTGGTCGCGCGGGCGCGGGAGGGGCGGCGGGGGCCGAAGCGGGGCAAGCTCGGGCCGAGAAGCTGCAGACGACTGCAATCAGCGGGCGCGATGGGGATAAGAAGAAGCATGATGCGGATGAGGATGAGTATGAGGAGGAGGAGCAGCAGCAGCAGGAGGAGGAGGAGCAGGAGGAGGAAGAAGGCAAGCCGTCGATCGGGCCGCGGGGGGGGGGGGGGGCAAGCCGACGATTGGGCCGCGGGAGAGGGGAGCGGGTGGCGCGCTGTCGAGAGGGAGGGCCGACGGGCAGCCGAAGGTCAAGAGGGGGGCTCGGCGAGGCTCTTCTGGGGATGGACGGGGAGGCCGCCCCTTCCTCCCACTCCGACCCCGCGCTGTGCCCGTCGCTCAAGCCTCGTCCCCGTCCTCGTCATCGTCCTCCTCATCCGTCCCTTTTCAATGTGGACAGCTCCTCCGAGTCGCACCCCCCAACGCATCGGTGGGGCGGGCCGCGCGCTGCGCCTGGGACTTCAAGGGTGGAGGGCGGTGGGGTAGTCTTCAACATGTGGCTGTCGACTCAGCACCGCGCGCATTCGGGATGAAGGTGTGTCGCCGCTTCGCAGATGGAGGGTGGCCCCGTTCCAAACTGTGGCTCGCGCCGTAGCGCCGCGCACGCTCGCCTGAAACACTCGCAACGATTCGAAACATGAAGGCGGTCCGTTCTGTTAATGTGGCTCTCGCCGTAGCGCCGCGCACGTTCGTCCTAACAAGTTACAGCCGCTGCAAGGATCGAGGGCGGCTCCTTGTCAAACTGCGGCTCTCTCCTAAGCGCCGCGCGCATTCGTCTTAAAAGTTCGTAGCAATGTGAAGAATTCGTATGGCTGGCGTCCCAGGAACGGTGCTCTTGCACGAGTAGGATAATCAGGACGCAAGAGTCAAACTGCTTCGCGGAGTTGACGTCCCCAAGGACGCAACAGTCACGTCGACTCGCGGCGTAGAGGTTCCACGCATGGTATATTGTCTTTACATGGGGCACGTCCTGCAATGCAAGTACACTCTTGCTCTTGTAGGGACATACAAAGGGGAACTCGGAGGGAGGCTATATTGCAACGTCGTTGATGCGCCTTGGGTTTGCACTGGCCCTCCTCCTCCATCATCATCATCATCATCATCAGCATCATCATCATCAGCATCATCATCATCAACAACAACATCATCATCCACATAATCATCCCATTCCTCCCCCTCCTCGTTTTTCTGCCTCCCTCCTCATCCCGCTTCTCCTCCCTCTCCTCCTCCTCCTCCTCCTCCCCCTCCTCCTCCTCCTCCTCCTCCCTCCCTCCCTCCCTCCTCCCTCCGTTCCTCCCGCCCTCCCTCCCTCCTCTTTTCCTCAACCCCTAGTCCTCCTCATTCCCTCCCGTCCCTCCTCCTCCTCCTCCTGCGCCTCCTCCTCCTCCTCCTCCTCCGCCTCCTCCACGCATGCTCCTCTGACCGCGCCTCTCCCCTCCTCCTCGTCATACTCTTCCTCCTCCCTCCTACTTCCTCCTCCTCCTCCAACCCCCTACTCCTCCCTCATCCCTTGTTCCTCTTTCTCCTGAGAGTCGCCATGTTCTTCCTTGCCGTCAAACCTCGTACAGCTGCGCCACGAGACTGAGAAACTCGTCCACGCCTGGCCGCTTGAGCACGTAGACGCAGTGCACCTCGCCTGAACACACCGACTCGTGTAATCTCTTTGCAAATTAGTTTCCTCTTCCGCCTCATTCTGCCCCTCCGCATGCTCCTCCTTCTCCTGCTCCTCCTCCTGCTCCTCCTTCTGCTCCTCCTCCCCCTCCTCCTCCTCCTCCTCCTCCTCCTCCTCCTCCTCCTCCTCATGGACTGCATGGCTTAAGGCCCGTCCCCCCCCCAAAAAACCTGATCTTCCTCCTTCTTCTTCTTCTTCTTCTCCTCCTCCTCCTCCTATCATATCGGTCTCCTAGTCCCGCTCTCCCTCCTGCTCCTCTTCCACCTCCTCGCGGCGCAATGTGTGGTAACCCATGGTGTCCCCCCCCACCGGTTTCCTCTCTTGCTTTTCCTCGTCCTGCTCCGGCTCATCCCGCTCGTCCCACTTCTCGCTCCTCCTCCCCCTCCTCCTATTTCGCCTCCTCTTTTCAATCCTTCTTTCCTCCCTCCGTGTCTCCTCCCCGTCCTTATCTCCCTCCTGCTCCTCCACCGCCTGCTCCTCCTTCTCCTCCTCTTCCCGCCACCTCTTGCCCCTTCTGCTCCACATCCGCCTCCTCCTCCTCCTCCGCCTTCTCCTCCTCCTGCTCTTCTTCAGCCGCCGACTCCTCGTCCTCTGGCTCCTGCGCCTGCTCCTCCCTCCTTCTCATCTTCTTTCTCATCCCCCCTCCACATCCTCATCCTCATCCACCTCCTGCTCTTCCCCATCCTGGTCATCTCCTCCCATCCCCTCCTCCGCCTCACTCCTCCTCCTCCTCCCTCCTCCTCCTGCCGTCCTCCTCCTCCTCCCCTCCTCCTCCTCCTCCTCCTCCCTTGGCTTCCTGGGCGCCTTCCCCCATCCAGAAGCCTCCTCCTCCCTCCCTCCCCCTCCTCCTCCTCCTCCTCTCCTCCTCCTCCTCCTCCTCCTCCTCCTCCTCCTCCTCCTCCACCCTACTTCGCATCCATCATCGCCCTCCCCTCGTCCTCCCGCTCCTCCTCTTGAGGAGCCGCCCTCCCAGCAGCACCAGCCAGGGGCTCGAGGAGTGCCCGCTGCGCTGTGCTTGGGGTCCCCGGTCGCCCTCCAAGTCGACAAAGATCCGCAGGTCGCTGCCGTGCGCGGGCCGGAAGGTGCTGTGCACCAGGGTCTCGTCCAGGTCCAGGACGAGGGTCTTCCGCCCGATGTTCGGGCCAACCTGAGGCGGGGGACCTCCCCCTTCGCCCCGCCCACCTCCTGCAGGAGGGGGGGGGAGGAGGAGGAGGACGAGGAGGAGGAGGAGGAGGAGGAGGAGGAGGAGGAGGGGGAGGAGGAGGAGGAGGAGGAGGAGGGGGAGGAGGGGGAGGAGGAGGAGGAGGAGGAGGGGAAGACGCGCGGCGCTGCGGACTCAAGCGAGGACCCAGCAACACGGGAGGGTCAGAGGAAACCCGACGGGTGCCCGTTCCCGAAGAGCTGGGTGCTCCTCCACGACGATTTGACCGCGCATGTCATCTCTGAAGGGGCCCCAGGACACACAAAAAAAATACACACATAAACATATGTCCCATAGTTTCATATATTTTTGTGGTTTTTGTCTTCCGCCCCATTTCCCATATTTTCCCATCTTTTCGGGGGAGTCGACGATGAATTGTGTCTGTGTGTTTTTTCCCTCCTGAATCTCGTGCTTCTGCACGCGCACTCCCAGCTCATATCTTGCTTCTGCACGGTCGTGCCAACGCACCGCGTCGCATCGCGTGGCCGCAGCCGCTCCCCCCGGGGGCGAACACCGCACCGTCTCTAACACACAGGCCACGATGGCCTCGAGCGCGGGGATCCTCAGAGAAAGCCAGCTGCCCTGGAATAGCATTGTCGCCGTCGCCGTCGCCGTCGCCGGCGCCGCCGCCGCCGCCGTCGTCGTCGTCGCCGAGGTCGTCGTCGTCGTCGTCGTCGTCGTCGTCGCCGCCGTCGTCGTCGTCGTCGCCGAGGTCGTCGTCGTCGTCGTCGTCGTCGTCGTCGTCGTCGCCGCCATCGTCTCCCTGCCGGGTCGGCGGCACTAGCCGTTAAGGCCCTCACAGTAGCCTCCGGGGCCACGGCCCCCGAATCCCTCGACGCCCGCTCCGAAGCAGCCCCTGGGGCCCCTCCCGGGGACCCGCCCCGGCTGGCCTCTCGAGCTGCGCCCGCCCGCGGCGGCGAGGGGAGCTCGGGAGCCCCACCGCGGCTCGAAGTTGGACCGGCCACGGGGACGCCAGGAGGGTACCAATACCGCTACTCTCGGGGGCGGCCAAGAGGGGGGGTGCAAAGCATGGCCGGCGGCGTGTGCGCGGCCCAGGGGGGGGGGGCGGGGACGTATTGAAATAGGAGGTGAGGCGCCATGATATCCCCCCCCCACCCCGAGGCATCAACCCCCCTCCTTTGCAGCCCTAGCTACAACCCCCCGATGCTCCCCCGATCTCTCCTGGGGTGCGTTCAGCCCAGAATTTCCGGGCGAGTCCAGCCGTGGCGCCGGGGGCCTTCCTGGAGGCTCAGCGCGGCGAAAACGAGGCAAGGGTCGCGGCACGGTGAGGGCACTCGACAGAGACCCCTTGAGCAAGGAATCCACGGTCTGGAAGCCAGTAGAATACCGACTGAGGCTTGGCCGTGGATACCACCGCCAGGTCTGGAGCCTCCTGGACACAACAGTCCCCCAAGGTCTGAAGCCTCTTGGACGCATTCCGTAACGAAGGCCCACGCCGTACTTTTTCAGGGCGGCGTCCACGGAAGCCCCGACCCGACCCTTCCCCCGGGACCAGTTTCTCAGCCCGAGTCGTTTTTTGGACGGCCCGAGGCCCAGCGAGGGCCCCACGAGGCCGAACACGGCCGCGAAAACCGCCCGTGTCCGGATTCCTTTTTGTCGACGCAAGCACGTCTGGGCTGCCCTCCCTTCGATCACAGTCCTCTGCAGCGGACAACGTTAAGTCGGGCCCGTCCCCCTACAGGGGGATTTTCGACGAAAAATGAAAAATACACCAAAAATAATCCAAAAACAATCCAAAAATAGTCCGGGGACTATTTTTTTTGGAGTAAGTTTTGACCTTTTTGGGGCATGTTTGGGGTATATTCTTATTTTGATTTTTATATTTTTTGGACAGGCCCGACTTAAGGACAACGCGCCGGGACGCCTGCGGCCCCAGCTGCGGCCGCTGCGCCAGTGGCCGCGGCGCCGGCGGCTGCTGCGCCGGCGGCTGCTTCGCCGTCAGGGGCGGCCGCGCCGGCGGGTCGGCCAGGATACCAGAACGGGGCTCCACCCGCGCCTCGTCCACCTGTGGATTTTTTCCCCTCCTCCCCCTCCCCCTCCTCCTCCTCCTCCCCTCCTCCTCCTCCTCCCCCTCCTCCTCTTCCTCCTCCTCCTCCTCCTCCTCCTCCTCCTCCTCCTCCACCTCCACCTCCACCTCCTCCACCTCCTCCTCCTCCTCCTCCCTGCACCAAGCGACGATGGCCCACGAGCTCCACTCAGCCTGCATCAGAGTAGCGCCAGGCCGGTTGTGCAGCAAATGCCAGAAAAGACGCAGAGGAAGAGGAGGGGGAGGAAGACGAGGCCGAGGAGGAGGACGCCTCGTCCACCTGTAGAGGAGGCGGGGGCAGGAAGAGAGGACAAGAGGGCAGTAGAGGGGGCAGGAGGGGAGGAGGGGGAGGAGGACGCCGGGACAGGAGGACGAGGGGGAGGAGAGGAGGACGAGGTCGAGGGGGCGGGATAGGAGAAGAGGAGGGGGAGGGGGATGAAGGTCGGGGGGAAAGGAGGGGGGAGGGCGGGGGAATGAGGGGGCGAGGGGGATGGGGGAGGGTGGGGAAGGGAAGGAGGGGTGAGGAGGAAAGGGTAACTCCTCTTCGTCTGGAAGCGAGAGGTGTGGGCAGCGCGGGCCAGGCGCTTCGCTCGAGACTTCCTGCCCGCTTCCACTGCGAACCTTGACACTTCCTACGTCTACACGGATGGAGGGGGCCGTTCTCAAGATGCTGCTCTCGCCTGGGCGCTGCGCGCATTCGCCACGCGAGATCCCCGAAACTACTCGGATGTTGGCGGGTTCCGTTTTCACAACGTGGCCCTCGCCCGAGCGCCGCGCACATCTTCTCTTAAACGCCACCGGCAGCTGCGGCAAGTTCGCGCGGCGACGGCGCTTGCAAAGGCTTGTGACACCGCGCCGATCGTTCAACCTTGAATCGATGGCGGCCCCGATCATTCAAGGTTGAATTTCACTCGGGTCCAGTGGAGTTGCCGTGTCCGTCGGTGTTTCCGCGTCGCAGAATTCAACCTTGAACGCCTTCGCCAGCGTCGGCGGCGCGCCAACGCCGAACCGGCCGCAATTGAGAAGCTGTCGTTTTCAAAGTGTGGCTCTCGTCCTATTTGCGAGCGCGTCGGTCTTGGGCGCCCTAGACATGCACGGATGGTGGGCGCTCGATCGTCTCGCCCTCACGCCGCGCACATCCGTCTTGCAGCTCTCTGCTTTCCGCACGGGCGTAAGGCGGGGTAGTTTTCCAAATGTGCCTCTTGATTCAGCGCCGTGCACATTCGTGTGACAAGCTTCCAGCAGTAACTCGGCCGGAGCACAGGTCGTTTCCAACATGTGGTTTGGGCCATTTAGCCGCGCACCTTCGGCATCACATGTCTTAAATGTTCCCAACAAGTGATTCCACGGACGGAGTACAGGTCGTTTTCATTCCCTACCTAGGCTCTGCCTAGACGGGTTCTTACTCTCTGGGCTTAAAGGGGCTGGGCAGTGGAAAGCGCCCCGGGCGGTTCCCCCAGTATCCGCCCCGCGGTTCCCCCAGTTACGTCCCCTTAGCTTAGCTTAGCTTATTTCATCTTAGCTTAGCTTATTTCATCTTAGCTTAGCTTAACGTCGTCTTAGCTCAGGCGTATATCAGCTTAGCTTACCTTCATCTTAGCTTAGCATGGATGTAATTCCCTACCTAGGCTCTGCCTAGAGGGTTACCTTAACTTAGCTTCGCTTAGCTTAGCTTAGCATAGCGCAGCGCTGCATTAACATAGCATAGCATAACATAGCCAAGCATAGCATAGCATAAGATAGCGCAGCATACCATAGACAGCATAGCATAGTATAGCATAGCATAGCGCAGCTGAGAATAGCATAGCATACCATAGCATAGCTTAGCATAACACAGCGCAGCATGACATAGCATAGGATAGCTTAGCTTAGCTTAGCTTAGCACAGCATAGCATAGCGCAACATAGCATAGCGTAGCATAGCATAGCGCAGCATAGCACCGCATAGCATAGCATATCATAGCATAGCAACTAATGCTGCTTTCCTAGGGGCTCCAACTTCTAGGTAGGGTCGCACTGGGGTAATTATCTCGCCTTAGCGTCGCGCACATCGGTCTTCACCGCTTGAAGCACACACTGGCGGTGGGCGGCAGTGTTTCAATATTCCCTACCTAGGCTCTGCCTAGAAGGGTTCTCACTCTCTGGGCTTAAAGGGGCCGGGCAGTGGAAAGCGCCCCGGGCGGTTCCGCCAGTATCCGCCCCGCGGCTCCTCCAGTTACGTCCCCTTAGCTTAGCGTTGCTTATCTCATCTTAGTTTAGCTTATTTCATCCTAGCTTAGCTTACCTTCATCTTAGCTCAGGTTTATCTTAGCTTAGCTTACCTTCATCTTAGCTTCGCTGAGCTTTAGCATAGCAGAGTACAGCGTAGCATAGCGCAGCATAGCATAGCATATCATAGCATAGCCCAGCATAGCAGAGCATAGAGCAGTATAGCATATCATAGCATAGCATAGCATAGCGCAGCACAGCACAGCATAGCACAGCGCAGCATAGCATAGCATAGCACAGCACAGCATGGGTGTCATTCCCTACCTGGCTCTGCCTAGAGGGTTAGCTTAGTTTAGCTTAGCTTAGCTTAGCATAGCGCAGCGCTGCATTAGCATAGCATAGCATAGCATAGCCAAGCATAGCATAGCATATAATAGCGCAGCATATCATATCATAACATAGCATAGCATGGCATAGGATGGCACAGCTTAACATAACATATCATAGCATAGCATAGCTTAGCATAGCTCAGCGCAGCATGACATAGCATAGCTTAGCATAGCATAGCATGGCATAGCGCAGCATAGCATAGCATAGCATGGCATAGCATGGCGCAGCATAGCATGGCATAGCATAGCATAGCAACTAATGATGCTTTCCTAGGGGCTCCAACTTCTAGGTAGGGTCGCACTGGGGTAATCTGGCTCTAGCCTTAGCTTAGCTCGCATTCGTCCTTAGTACGTCGAGCAATTCCAATGCACAGGTCTGTTTCGAAATGAGCGCAACGCGCACGTTCGTCTTAAATGCTCCCAGCAGTCACACGGATGGATCAAGCGGTTCCTCCTGTGAGCAAGAAGTTCTTTCGAACGCCCCTTACGCCTCATGATACAAAACCCAAATCGTGTGCAAGATATGCACTGAACGAGGACGGCTCCTTTTCAAAGCGGGGCTGCCGCCCAAAACTCCATCAGGTTGTTGAGCAAACGGCAAACACATTGGAACCACTAACGGGTTGCGGGCGGCTCTTGCTCAAAGCGGGGCTCTTGCCGGACACCACCACCACCTCCTCCTCCTCCTCCTCCGCCTCCTCGGACATCATGATCATACCTCGTCGCCGTCCCTACAGCGGGAAGCATGGCTGCAGATCCTCTTCCAGGACACGGGGCCCTCGCGACTTGCAGGGCCGTGTCGCGCTCGTCGCTCAGGGGAAACGCCGCCCGGGGAGGGGAGGAACATCCTGCTGGGGCCTGTGGGGGGAGGGCTGGGGGCGGGTGGGCGTAATGCAGCATCGCTGACGCATCGTGGGATCACTCCGGTCCCCCCCCCCTCCTCTTCCCCCCAATCTCCTCCCTCCTCCTTGCGCCTCTGGATGAGGAGGAGGAGGAGGCGGAGGAGGAGGAGGCGGAGGAGGCGGAGAGGAGGACGAGGAGGAGGACGAGGAGGAGGACGGGGAGGAGGGCGGGGAGGAGGACGAGGAGGAGAACGAGGAGGAAGACGAGGAGGAGGACGAGGAGGAGGAGGAAGAGGAGGAGGAGGAGGAGGAGACCCCCTCTCTCCTCGTCGCCCTCCTCTCCCCACCTCTTCCAGGGGGCCTCCCCGCTGCTCCCACCGTCGCTCTCGTCGCCCTTCGCCCCACCTTCTCCTCGTCGCCCTTCCCCCCCCCCAACGGCACATCCTCCTCCTCCCCCCCTCCTCCCCTCCCCATCCCCCTCCCTCCCCGCCTCCCCCTCTCGCTCATTCTCCCCACTCCATCCCCCCTTCCACAATTACACAATATGACTTCTCTCCTCTCTCCCGGAAACGCCGATGAGGTGTCCTGGCCTCCTGCGCATATGGTTTTTTATACACACGAGATGCAACCAAATGTATGATTTATATGTGTTTGCCAATCCGAACGTTTTCAGTCCTGTCGGAACTGCGCTCTAGTCCGAAGTGTTGCGATCTACCCCCTTCCCACCCCTCCGCCCCCTCGGAGAACCAAACGATACCCACAATTACTCGAATCGCTTCTCCCCAGACCTCTCTGGGTGCGCTGACCAGAATTTCGGGGAGAATCCAGCCGTGGCGATAAGAGCCCTCTTCGCTCTAGGCCGAGCAGCGGTGCTGGTACCTCTTCCTGCTCTGGCCCCTCCTCTTCCTCGCAGCCGCCGCCGTCGCCCCCTCCTAGTTCCCACCTCCCCCTCTGCTCCCCCTCTCGCTCTCCTCGCCCTCCGCCCCCCCCCCACCCGTTTCTCCTCATCGCCCTCCTCTCCCGTCCCGTCCCCATCCCGCTACCTCTCCGGACCTCTCCCGGGGTGCGTTCCGACCACAACTTCGAGGAGCATCCAGCCGTGGAGACGAGGCGGTGTCGATACGGTAGGGGTGCCCTTTCCTGCTCTGACCCCTCCTTTTCCTCGCCGTCGCCGCCGCCGTCGCCCCCCTCCCCCCGCGCTCGATAACAAGAAGCCCTCCACAAGAAGCCCGACCCTGAGACCCCAGGACCTCCATTGACTTTTGGTGTGGGAACGTCACGCTTTCCATAGCGAAGCCATCGAAACCCAGGGCACCCTGGAGGCAAGCAAGGTGTCTCTTGGCATGGGTTTCCACTGTAATCACCTCCTCGCTGCTCGTCCCATCGCTCTCATCGCCCTCCGCCCCCCCTTCACCTGGTCGCCTGCCCTCCTCGCCCCGATAAAGTCGGGGTCGTCGACGTCGACGTCGCCGCCGCCGCCGCCGCCGTCGTCGTCGTCGTCGTGTCGTCATCGTCGTCGTCGTCGTCGTCGTCGTCGTCGT